ATGTATATGTATATAAAATATCTATCATTGTATAATATCGTGCTTTATATCGTATCTTCTCAATCCACTGTTTAGTATTGGAAGTTTACAACTTGTTTTTAGCGTTCGAGAATATTTAATTGTCACAAGAATATTAAATGTTATGGGGAACAACTTTAGTACTGTTAAAATATTTAAATGTCAACATTTTAATCTCATATTTAACTAAAATATCTTTTCCATATTCAATATTTTTATATCTATTAATATATATTTTTATCTCAAATTTTGTTCTCTTTTGTGATTATTTGTAAATAATTCTAATAAACCAAAATAATTTCGAGGAAATCTAATTCATACAACTAAATTCCGAAATTGGATATAAATTGTTATTAATAATCCTGTTGTTTATAAATTGCAATATGTAAACATCAATTAATTTTGCTCTTTACATAATATATAATAATATTAATACACAATAAAACATTTTTTTGAGGATCAATCGTCTGGAATTTAATTGTGAAATATTTATACTACTTTATTCAATCAAAAAGTAATAAAATTAAATTAAATCATGTTTTCACAATTAATTGAATCTAAATATTTCATCATCCTCTTGAACGAAAATACATAATTTTTATCTCAGCAATGATGCAGAACTGGTTCCCATTACTAGAATCAACGGCATTTTTTCTAATTAATTTAAATTACTACTCCCGCTGCTACACAATGTCGTCGACACCAATACTCCAGAGGTGGTGCAAAGGGATGTCGATTCCTCGTTCCATTTCGTTAGTGGGTCACGTCCATCGATCAGTATCGTCTACAAGGGAATTGAACGCGTGTCATCATGCTTCCATAGAAACATGTAAGATTTTTCTTTACGCCAAACGAAAAATTTAACGAGCGTTAAATTTACAGTGAAATACTATCGTGGACGATAGGTTAACTTTGATTTCCGTTTACCTTGGCAGGATCGAAAGAACTGTTTGCAATCTCCCCTTACAAAGAAACAGGTTTCCGACAGGTATTTCGAGACCGCGTCTGCAGATAAAATAGACTGACCTACCTTTTTGGTACGTCAACCTTCTGAATTATTACAAGTGTTAATTGTTCATTAAACTAAACATTATTTTCGAGGTTCGAAATATCCGATAAATTAGTTTAAAATCAAATTACATGGTTATTCATTCAAGTAACAAAGTCATAAAGGACTTTATCAATTTATCCCTCGTGTTTATTTTAGGAACATTTTCAAAAATCAAAATCTTGAATAATTTTTAATTCTTACAAATAAAAAGAAAGTAGATACAGATTTAGGTAAAAGTTTTATCTTGTTATTTAAAGGATTAATAATAATTCGCGTAATCGTATTCCAATCATGAATAATCGTGTCGATAGCTTCGATAAAACTTCACACGAACCTTTTGTACTTACCAGCCATTAATATCGGCAAATATTTGAACAACTTTGATTGCGAGTTTACTGTGAAAGTAGTGACCATTTACCGCGACAACAATCCGAATGTATTTGCTTACTTATCGATCAACAAAGAGATATCATATATATGTTGATAAGGTATTTGAGACAAATATAACAACAATATCGAATTATCCTTCCCTTAAAAACGAGAGTATCGAGATTAAACACAGCGAATTAATTAGCAAATAAGGGAATCGAAGTGGTACATTAAAAAAATGCTATCTTTTTATAAAAGAATAATAATTTCTTTCCTTTTTCAAACATATCTCTTTTAATGTTTATTATAAGCTATATATTATATAAGATAAAAACATAAGATAAAAACAAAATAATTTTATATGTATTTAATTTTTGAAATGTCACATGTATAAATTTATATTTCATCAATTCACTTTGTGGTAACAAATAATTGTAAGTGCGATTTCCATTTCTCGTTCGTCAACAATTTCGAAAAAAAAAAACCATGAAATTTTCACGTGTCATAATTAGTTTTAACAATTTCCTTTTTTTAATGGAGACCAGATTTATATATCCTCTCAAAGGATTTATCGTCAGTTTCGAACAAATGGAATTTGTGGAATTTCTTCGTGTCATTCGTCGCGATAGTTCGATATCGCGATCCCTGCATGGATCAAGATCGCTCTGGCGAGGATCCAGCGAGGGTATCCGACAGAAATGTGCGGAATTGGCGGCTCCGAGGCGACCGCACCGAGTCCCGAATCCGATCCGCATGCTTCGGCGCGATCAATAACGCGGGGCGTGCACCACCACGGCGTGCCACCCTTTTCCTTCTAGTCCCGGCAGGAGGTCCTCGGTTGGCGGTACCCCAGCTGACCTTCGCCAATTACGCGTGATGCCGTGGCACGCAAATTTCCACGAATGCACGACGATAACACCCCGTGATCACGCAGGTCCGTTTCAATAAAACAGTTTTTTTTTCTTCCCTGTTTTCAAATCCATTCGCGTTCGCAGATTGTATGTGCATTAATCATCGCCAAATTATTCCGCCGTTTCAAATTGCAATTTTGTACCTGGACATAAATTGCCGAAGACATTAAAGAACATCTATCAGTTTCTTTCTCCTGCCATTTTGTTGCAACTTGCCGGTTTCAAGGACACTCGAAAACTTTTCTGAGTGCAACACCCTTCAGTTAAAAAATCCCCCCTACTCGAAGGATACTCTATTGAAAGGGGAAGAAGGAAATGCAATAAAATGTATAAAGCCTTTGGAGAGTCAACTCGTTCCCAAACAGGAGACAAAGTAAATTTTATCGCTGCACTCTAGCTCCGGCGATTCTCACCATCCAATTCAATTTACGCTTGCATGCGCTGCCGCTCGACGCTTTTCGCGAAAACACGCGGCTGCACAGAATAATATTTGAGGAATTCTTTTAAAAATTCGAAGAAGCCTGCTATACAGTTTAATCCTTTGACACGGGGGGAATATTTTACAAACTATCTATTTTCTATTTCATCAAAAGAAAAGTACCAAAATTATCATTCTTTGTTCAGATACACTGTGTAGTAACAATAATAATACGAAATAATATCGTGAAATATTTTTTTATTAGTTTTGATTTTCCAGATTATTTTCCAGGATTATTCAGAATAAAAGAAAATATCAATGCATTTAAGTGTCAAAACAAAAATTCTTTAAAGCATAAGCCTTATCTAAAAATCTAACACTCAAATAAAGCTTGTAAATATCTAATATTTCAGTAAATCAAAAACAAAATTTTCATGCCGAATGTTAAATAAAACATTTTCAAAAAATTTAAAATTTTTCTAGATAACAGTTGCTTTAATTTACTTTATTTAGTATAGAAGCCTCTTGAAAGAATTGTTTCTTTCGACACGACGATCCTTTCCCTTCATTCATTTTAGTTCTGCTCAGAACGTCCGTCGCTTCTTGGTACCCAGAAATAATTCGTCCCTGATTCGAGACATAACTATTGATGATGAGTCTGCGACATTCGAGGGAGCGAGGCTGCCGCGCACCACGTGCGCCCGAAAATAGCTGCAACGCCCGGATGGCGGGAAAAGGAAACTGCACCGCTCGATTATCGGGAGCATGCACTTTAGCGTTCGGCCAGATAAACGGCGAACGGGAAGAAATTTATCCGCACAACCCTTGATCGCAAAACATTCCGTCGGCGGCAGCTCGTCGCGATAAGAGTTCTCGATTTCCGCGTGAATGAATCAATTCCATTTATCCGACGAGCGTCCCAATTGAACTAATTGTTAACATTATCAATCTGCCGCGTCAAGAAATAAGTCGAGCGTGTTATCGCTCTTCGAGTTTCGCTCCACCAACGTGACCTAGAAAAAACTGACGTCGACGAGTAGTCCCGCCCGCCGTTCCGCGAGTTATCTCGAGGTAGAAGCACGTTGCGGCTTCCGTTTCCTGTTTTCAGTCTGAGGAGACCAGTACGATAAAAGCGTCCTGTCGCGGTGTGTTTTACGGATTTGCGAAGCCGTTCACGGAAAAACTTGTCCGTCCGCAAGCGCGATAATTTTCCACGACTAAACGTATGCAAATTGCACATGCACACGCAACGAGGAAATACACCGCCAGATATAATCTGCATGATGAGGAATACAACTTAGCCAACAATCTAAATATATACTTCAATAGCACATGTTATTTCTCGTGCATTGTTTTCTAATGACAAATAGTCAATTAAAAAAGTCAGTTTTCTTTAACGGAAACATTGCTTTTCCAGCTGAGTGATTAAAAAGAAATCTGTCTTCTGCGAGTGAGATTGATAACAGAATTATATTTTTTAATTAATTGATCAACGTCAATGGAGTCAACGTGAATAAATTATCAAGTTATTTTTAAATTTCTTTTAATTAATTTTTAATTAAATTTAACATAATGTATATTTATTTTCGTTTTAATTTTGTTTTGTTTGATATTTACAGTATGCAATTTGGGGAAATACTCCAAATTAACTAATTTTTATCACAAAGTAGTCACAAAATAATGAAATGAAAATTTTATTCATTTTATGATAGGTTTGAGAATTTGTTAAACGGATTATAAATATTTCTGCTTTCGTAATGCATATTGCGGCGAGAGCAGCCACGCGTAAGAAATGCGTCCAACGAGATGTCGTTTTCCGTCGAAAGATCCGAGACAGCAGTTTTAATCTTTCAGCGGTGGGCGACGGCAGTGGTTTTATCTCCACCTGAAGATCGACACATGTCTACGTTTCTTTTTTCAGCTTACACCAGCAGTGGTCACAGTGTCATGCATTGTGCCTGATATTTACTATTCCTTGCTGGTATTTCCGGTTTTTGTCAGCCGGCGGAAGCGCGAACGATCGAGCCCACCCTATCGATCACGTCGTCTTCCAATAACGCACACATCGAATCTGTATGCCTCACTCGAATAAAAATGTCTTTTTTCCTTTTTCATATTTCAAAACAATAATATATCTTAAGTAAATAATTGCAAGTAGTATGACATGCATCTTTGCTCTTATTTAATTTTCGATTCGATTCGATTCTTTGTGATAATATTCTATTCTAATTCTGATTCTTGTAAGGAGTTTAAGTTCAAAATTTCAACCACATTCTAATAAATATTTTAATAAGAATATATTCCAAAAATATATTCCACTTTTAATAAAATATTTCGCGTTTATTTTAGATCAACAAGCGACAGTATAAAACGACGTGCAAAAATAACGCAAAAGTTGTATAATTAAAGCTATGATAATTATAGGAGCGCCAAGAAAAATCGTCTCCTTCTTCTTTTTCTTCTCTTATAAGATTCACACAATGTAATTTAATTATATGTAATTTCGCTAAAAGTAATTATATACTCACATTTGTGTAGAAATCCACTTCCTTGTAAGGATTCACAGCCACCAGTATGGATCCCGTATATGTCTGTAATAGCTGTGTTAAGGAATACAATAACTCAAACAAAATTTCAATATAAAAATTAATGATACAGTTGGGTTTTTTTCTATTAAATATTAATAATATATTATATTAACAAGCTATAAACCCAATTTGTCGTTGACATTTTTCCGCATTCATAGTCATAATGTTCCTTGATGGCCTTTGCGGTAGCACGTAAGGTGGGCGAAGAGAAAGAGGGCTAAAAAATATATGACCTTTTTAACGTGCACTCTAGTCGCCGATCGCTCGTGTTCCAAGCAAACTATGTTTTATGAAGCACGAGCGGGAAGTTGTGCCAATCCGTTTTTATTGCTCGCCCTATAAAAGAGAAAACTCTCGTGGGCGATGAGGTGTACGAGTATAACGCCATGTCTATACACAGAGAATACTTATCCAGAAATGCACTATCTCGACTATAATATTCCTCGAATAGAATTTAGGAAAATATTCTCTTAATGAATATTTCAGCGCAATCTAGTTTTTCTTACAATTTCCATATTTTCGTACTCCAAACGAATTCTAAATTAGAATCCCTTTCAAAGTCCGCTCAAAATTCACCGAGAAATAAATACATATTTTCGCCTAATTTTCCTCTCACCTTTCATCTCTTATTATTAGTTCGTTAATAGCATTAATGTCTCGACACTTTTGTCAAAGGAACATATTGGAGGTCGAATTAAATATACGTTTACCAAAATTCAAACATCGTTAAACCATCCTGTGTAATACTGAAAAAAATTAAAAAAAAAATCGTTCTTAGAGAAATATTACGGGTTATAAAACGGGTTCATAAATACGTTGCGCAGTGCCAGGAGCACAGGAATATAACGAACGAAATCTCTGGAGAGAGCGCATAGCTCTTTCGTAAGTCCTATCCCTTGCATAATAACCAGAGGATGACATGCTTTCGCTGGCACATGAGGGAGAGAACTTGGTAATGACGTCACGCTCGGGGACGACCTATAGGGGGTATGACTCATGGCTGAATGCTACACCGTTAGCGAAAAGGGGGGTATTACACCTATAAACGTGCCACCCTTCGGCAACATTTGAGACGAGTTAGGGTGCTGATCTACGCCCGAAAGTTCGAAACTCGTTTTGGCCGATGGTAGGCTGAATCTTCTGTCATATCAGTTGAAAAGTGTTTATAAATACATAATAAATGAAATAAATAATAAATCTATACTTCTTAAAATACACCTCTATAAAAAAAATTCATCATATTCATATTCTTCATAAAAGTTACGTAAGTTATATATTAAGTAAAACTCACAAGGAAGAAAAGAGAAAGAAAATTGATTAAGAATGAAGGAGTACATGACTTGAAAAAGTTAAAATGGATATTACAATTAAATAATTATTATTGCTGAAATTATTCATATACATAGTGATAAATTGGTGAAGAATAAATTTTATTCGTGGTATCAACTTCACTTCTTTTTTATCGTGCTTCGAATTTTATATAATAAAGAAAATAGTTCGCTTATATCCCTTCTTATGTTTTACGCTTATACTTTATTTATGTTTACGGACTTATATCTTATTTTTTTCTCGAAGCAAATTTGTACGTGCACGAGGTCAACACGCGTTTGCGTATAGAGGCTGTCAACACCCTTGTGGTAATTACAGTTCACAGCTAGAGCCTGGATCAAGCTCTAGCGAAACCCCGTTATTATCGACAAGGACCTAACAATTTAATTAAGCCCTTGGGTAAGCGTATCTCGCCCATCGGTAGCTTCTTGATTACGTTTCTCACCGTAATAAAATCAACCTTAATTACAAACGGGTCCATCTGTCGAGAAATTTATTCGACAAAAAGTACACAAAAAGTAGAAGATAACTCTCTTCTTCCGCGATAATTTCTCTAGAAAGTTTTCGATCGATTGGAACTCTCAATTTTCTCCGCGATATTATTATCGTATCCCGAAACTACTGTTTGACTGTTAATTTCATTTGTATTTTAGCATATTATCAGTGGATCACGAAAACATGCCAAGTTTTCAGTTCTGGTGACTATCTGCGGATCACGAAATATTCCGTGTTTTCCAAGGTATTCCGTGTTCTCGGAATTCCATTAATATGCCGGCGCATGCAGATAATCATCAAGATCGAAAAGCCAGAATATTCTATAATCTATGCGTCACCATCAGAATAAAAATTTGAGATATTCGGCGTATATAAGGCATATTAATGAGATGTAATATCGAGACTTGTAGATCGACAAGCATCGGCGAAGAGCAAGAGAGAATCCGAAATAAGTCTCGATCGAACAAAGATAAAAATATTTTCATTTCCACTTTCTTCGATATTTTCCATAAAATTATGTATATAGTGTTCCAATATGTATTTTGCATGAATATAAAGTATTAATAGTTAAGTATAAAAATATATCGTATTTAAAGTTCATTCATTAATTAAAGTTATTAAATAAAGTTTGAAATAATATCTAAATTGAAATCAAATCTCATTGCCACTAGTTTCAATATCCTTTCTGATTTATAAATTAATTTTTAATCCCGTTATTAAAAAATTCCTGATTCTCCATTCTATTTAATATCGTTATTAATATTGTTAATAAAACTATTTTCGCAGAAATTATTTTTGTATTTAAATTTATATATTATTCTCTTTCATAAAAATATTAGACGTAAAATATTAGGACAAAAAATATAAACTAACAAGCTTGAACGAGATCCTACAATTTAATTATTTGCCGAAAAAAAAGGCTTATTTATAATGGATCTTTCTTCTTTATAAATGGTCTCTTTGTTTTAATTTAAGAGCGAAAATGTACGATTAAGCAATTTAAACCGATAGCAGCGGTGTGACGTCTGGCCAAGGGAGTGGGCTGTCGATTGCATTTTAATTTAGCCGAGCAAGATCAGAGAGTGACTTGAGTGCAGCTTCATCGATGAACCGGATGTCGTCCGTTCCTTTGCGCGTGTTTTTCCACGTGCGTTCAACGCGCGCGTGTTCGCGCAGACACGAATGCCCGCATGTGAAGGGGTGTGTGAAGGGGTAGTTTGTTCTCATTAACCTCTCTCGCAAGCGGAGCGCCCTTAGCCGACTTGAATTGCACTCGTCGTGGGAGCTGAGGCGGGATGGAGATACGAACGAGGCGATCTCGTATGCCTCTATTATCGATAGCAAGAGAGAGTGAAAAAGGAAAAAGAAAAAAAAACAAGAGACACGGCGAGAACGAGAGAGTGAATGTCTGGGAGGGTCGCGAGAGAGTTCATCGATGCGAAAAAATTAGGCCACTCGCTCTGGAAAGGGTTAAGTTGCCTGGAAGCCGGGAAAGCTCGACGGCAAGAAAGGCGCTTAATTATCACGCACGATGGATGACTGGTTAATTTCGGTCGTCGGTTTCTTAACCCTTTATCCGAGCGACCTACTTTTGCAACAAGAAAATGGGATCTACCGTTATTATAATATCTTAAAATATGATAGGCTTAATTCTAATTTATCTCGTTTAGATATTAATTATTTTACATTAATGAAGATAAGATAATGGATATTGCATCAAATATGAATCATGTCTAAATTAAAGAATCAAATTGACTCTTCACGGATTAATCTTCTGTTAGTCTTAGCGATTTATACGTATTTTTTTAAATTTATGGATAATCATTTTTGTTCAAAGTCTAAATTATAAATAAAACAATTTTTATTAAATTCGCAATTTATTAAAGCATAATAATCTTTAAATTAATATGTCGAATCATTTTATATAATTTGAACTTTTTTTCGTATTGGAGCCATAGAATATCACGATATAATAATTTTCAAACTTTTGTTTTAAAGTAAATTAATATAAAAATATTAAACTAAAGAAATATTTGCGTTTAATAATATCAATAACAAAAACCATATAGATCTGCGCAATTTTTACGCTGTTTGGCACATAACTTTGAGATTTAACGAAAGGCAAGCTTGATGTGTCTACAGCAAGAGCTGTCCTTACCAGCTGCAAATCTCGTTCGCACCCGCGGCGACGACAAGAAGTGCTCAATGACAGAGATTCGAAAAGGCCAAGGGACCCGAACGACCGCTTTACGAGCCGTTTAATTTTTCGATTATATCAGGCGGCAAAAAGTGAACGTCAACACATATGCGTACGGTGATGACCAGGCAGAGCTTGGTTTCTGAGAAACAAGTTTTGTTTCTTATGCCCTTTCGTTAGAGGAAACATTTCCTAATTACAAATTTTACAAAGATCGCAACAAAGTTAGAAATAACTTGAAATATTTCGAAGATTTCATTCACGAAATAAAAATAATTTAAGATGTTCCAACAACGTCTAATTAATTTCGTCAATTGATTTAAGAAAAAGAAGACAGTTTGAAAATATTTTTAGAGAAAAAGAAAATAATCGAATAACTAATAAAATATACTGTTTTAATAATAATTATGTTAAATGTGTTTTTAACGATATTACAGACATTTGTCCGTTCGTCTTATAACATTTTCATCTGAATGTGACGGAAGATTAGTCTAAGTACATCGTCGCACACGCTACTCATATGTATGAGGAAGTGTCTACTAATGAGTGGATTGTCGACGACCTAAATCGCGTGTTTGAATTCCGGTGACTAACTGGTCAATTGCTGTCAACTGAGATCTAGTTGAAGATTTTGGGCTCTTTAATACATAATCTCAAGTGTCACGAGATTTTCCAATTACCGAAATTAGCAAATTTGAATAACATTAGCAAATCCCATTTATATACGTATTGATTAAACGAAGGCAAATGTCTTTAAGAAATCTAGAATGAGGTAACAGTTCTATTTCTCAATCATTATATTTTTTTATCATCAAATATATACGCAAAGTGAAATGTAGCAACGTTAATTTTCAACGTTAATTTTGCATATTACTTCCAATAATAATTCTATAAAATAAAAAACTATTCATTTTAATGTTAATTCTCATCTGGTTAATTTGAATATTAATTTTTAGTTCCTAGTAGTAGCGATATCGCTATAATTAGTACACGATATTTTAATTCGATTTCCTCCATTTTACTACTCCTGCTTACTATGTGTTCATCGCTTGTTTTTATTTAAGTTCAAAGCTTCCAATTGCATAAACGCACATATTATCCCAAGATACGATTATTCCATACGAGATATCATTCACTGATTATTTTGTCGATGAGTTAAGCGTGCGTCTTGCGATTTTTATCTGTATCTGTAATATCCCGACGAACAATCGTATTTCTGGGAGTCGGTTAAGGCGAGAGGAAAGGGTTGACAATGGTTGCGGTATCGTTGGGTCGTTGGCAAATCCAAGCCGATGAGAGATGAATGGGTCTGACCCTGGGGTGATTCGCCAGCTGACTGAGATCGTCATAGCAACGCGGCAATCTAGGAGCGACCCCTGCCCTCCCCTGCGATATTCATATGCGTCCTTTCGTACCATTTCTCCCGGCTGATTCACTTTTTCTCTCTCTCTCTTTCTCTCTCTCTCTCCATTCTCCGCCGATCTCCTTTTCGGGACAAAATCAGTTAATCTCTCGTCGTCCACCTATCTTCCTTTCATTCGCCTAATTTAAATGAAAAACTAAACGGAATCACGGAAATATTATCCTCAGGCTTATAGCTTGCACCTCTCCATTGAATATTCAAAGTGAAATGTGCTTAATTTCCCTAGAGTTTAAGAACATTCAAATTATATTGAAATAAAATATTGTATTTGCTTTAAATAATTTCCAATTTTGACGATTGCTTTTTAATTTTCTTTTATGTGTCGCGTGTAATTATCACGTTTAAATTTATAAATCGTCAAATTTATCAACGAAGAATATTATATAATAATTATTAGAACATTAATTTTTCTATCTAAATAATAAATTTGTAAAAAATAAAATGTAAAATCATTTAGAAAAAGATCCGTTTTAGAAATTATTTTATATTTTATATTTCGAGTCATTACGATTTTAAGTATTTTAAGTATCGAAGCAATAAGAATAAATTTTGTACTGAACGCTGTGAATAGGAATTGATATATATTAATATATATATATATATATATATATATATATATATATATATATATAGTATATAGTAAGTAAAGTAAAGTAA